GTTAGCGATATTGCGCGCTGCACGATTTTTGTTTGAAAACAGATTACGCTTCATTTCGCATTACATATACAAAATGCAGATAAAAAAGTAGAATAACAGAATTAATTCAAAGATTAAAAAATAATTTATGTCGCATCACAAATAACTTCAATTGCAATTTGTTTTTTTTTTTTCTTTTTTGACGACTTTTAGTCGCATCGCGACAATTTCGTCTCAATGAAATTGCGATCAAATCGGAGATAGTTATAGCGCCGTTTTGTCGTCGCGTTCCTCCTCGCCGTTATAGAAAACCTACATCCAGCGTGAATTTCATTGAAATAGTTTGCAGTAAAAGTTTATTATTCCCTATTGAGAGGAGCTTTCCATCGGATAGATAGGGTCGTTCGAACGTCATGTACTCTTAACCGTTTCTCGAACGTCGCGCATTCTCTACCTACCGGAAAGACAAGGGGAGGTTTTTTCCCTTAGCTTTGCGACAACCGTCTGAAGTAGCGCATTGAACAATCGGCAATGTTATCTCGTGTAAGATCTCGCTTGATCGAAATACCTTGACGGAAATGGCCAAGTCCGATTATTAACTTCTTCCCGCGCGCCTCGAGACGTGAAATAGTTTTGTTCTCGATGCTCGATTTACCCGCGATTCTCCGTCGCGGTTCGCTACGAAATGCAGATACAGCTGAGAGGTGGAGGAAGGAAGGTGCAGTTTGGAAATGAAATTTTGCGGGAATTTATGACGGTTTGCACAATAAAAGTTACCGTATTCCTATTCGCGCAATCGTATCCCATGATAGTACGCGTTGCATAATACGCCTATATATATAACAGAATATTCGTTTTACACTCGTCGTATACCGGAGTCGCGTACGAGATATTTCGCGGAGAAAGAAACGCAAATCAAAGTGTACTATTGTAATATTAATGTACGTGGTACTTAACTCTGCGTTTACTGCAACTAAATAATTAATGCGATTCTCATTTATTAAATTTGTATGTGTTGAAAAATATTTAGATCTGGGTATAATTAATAACGCTTTTCCTTTATTAACGTTTGAATAATTACATCTATTTTTGAAGATTACATGATTTGGAAAATTTAAATGTAATTTGTAATTATATAAATTTTTTTTAAGATTCGTTTACGTTTATACATTCATATATAATATATGATATATGATATATGCTATATGAATGTATAAACGTAAACGAATCTTAAAAGAAATTTATATAATTACAAATTTAATTTAAATTTTCCAAATCATGTAGTCTTCAAAAATAGATGTAATTATTCAGACGTTAATAAAGGAAAAGCGTTATTAATTATACACAGATCTAAATATTTTTCAACACATACAAATCTAACAAATGAGAACCGCATTAATTATTTAGTTGCAGTAAACGCAGAGTTAAGCACCACGTACATTAATATTACAATAGTACACTTTAATTTGCGTTTTTTTCTCCGCGAAATATCTCGTACTCGGCTCCGGTGTGTGTGTGTGTGTGTGTGTGTGCACATATAATATACATATATTATATAAATGTATAAACGTATACGAATCTTAAAAGAAATTTGTACAATTTCAAATTACATTTAAATTTTCCAAATCATGTAATCTTCAAAAATAGATATATATATATATATATATATATATTTGAAATATATATAAATTTGAAATTAATCTTTTTTATGCTAATTATATAATTTGGAATATTATTACAAAAATCAAGACAAGAACGTTAAACGATTAACATTTTTTTAAAATCCTATGTGATATTATAGTGAAAATACATTACTCATTATACTCGCTATAATATGATAATTATGCTCGTGTAGAAATTAATGTCCATAACGCAGGAAAAAAAAGTCAAATTTATCTGTTATAATGTAATTGGATAACGAAGTTGTACATGTAATGCGAAATCCGTAATTTCTTTACGTCTGTCTCCCAAAGTAATGATTGTTGCGTAAATTACAGCGATGAAACAAGAAAAAGCAAGGGGAGACGAACAGAGAATAAGACAGAAACTTAATGAGAAACCATTGAATCACCTTTGGCACCAAAGTCTGCTGCCAAACGCTATTGCGGTTTCCGACGCGGTTAAAGGTGATGAAGTGTGCTAAGAAAACACCGAAGTGCGCCCTGGAAAAGTGGATAGACAGACGCAGGGGCTTGCCTCTGAGGCAAGAAGCGCGACCCTTAATTTCGTTTCTCGTTAAATCGTTCTTTAACGAGAAAATAAGGCCGCCTTTGAGTCGGAATTCTTGAAATACGAAGACGCGATTTCTTCTTCGCGATATAGGGTACGATAATGTCGAGCGAGGGATGAGACGTGAACATCGCGGATTAAAAACGATGTTTTCCTTATCGCAGTTATCATTGATATAGGATTTTCCAGTCTAATCTGTTTGATCGCGGAGCATTTCTCCGTTCTAGGGAAATATTATACTTAAGATCTATAAATATTTGTGTACGTGTGTAATCTCATTAAATTATATATTTATATGTATCTTCTCTCGTAATAAATTAAATACGTTTTTGGAGATAAATAATTTGTGCGCGCGTCACTAAACACTTCGTACTTCGAACTTACGTGATTATTAAAGCGAGACAAATATTTCGAAATTACGCGAGGTAATAAATATCTCTCTCAAAGCGTTATTCGTTTTACCCGCAGCTTTTACGCGTTTTATAATCATTGTTATTTCCGTTTACACATAATGTGCTAATATGCGAGTGCGCGCTTCTATTAAATTTCTATTCCAAAGCTGTTCGCAGATACGTGCGGTGGCAGAAATTCATATTCATTAACTGCGGACTGTTATGCACAAAATTCACGATATATCTAGTATGTAATGTATTGTGTCTTTCGGAGCTGAGTCATGTTATTAAGCGCTATACCGACACGTGGGTTTACCTTAATCAAAGCTTGTTAATCAGTTTGATAACGACTTTCAGAGGACGTGCTTGCGAATTCCAGTAGTTTCATTCGATTCTCACTCTCATTATCATTAACACGTTGAATGCTGTGACGGCCATCGGCATTATGACGATGGCATATTTCATTCATAAAACATTGTACAAAATTTAATGCACTATATAAGAGAAGTTACATATCTTTCCTATAAAACGAGCTTACTTATTTAAATCATAATTTTTAAATAGCGTTTTAGAGATTCTGAATAAAATGTGAGATCTCTACATATAAAAGAGACGCTAATTGAGAACCAGACGCGGTAATTAAAGCTAATATATTTGTCTTTTAATTTAATTTATTAATTATTTAAAGTTGTACGTTTCGAATTGTTAAACTGCAAAGTATTGATTGTATAAGTCTCACAGTCAAATAAAAATTCAATTAAAGCTTATATATGATTGTCAACAAGTCAGTTTTATTTGACGGAGAAACGTATAATATTTTTTTTTTTTTTTCAAAATTTGAAAATTTAATTATTCATTGAACTGAGGGAAAGATCTCTCAATAATGATCCAAGATGAAAAGATTCTGGATCATATTAAAAGTTTTCTCTCAATCTCATCTTCCTGATGTGCAGTATAATCCTCATCTCAACTTTAGCAGAGAGAAAGAAAAAGAGAGAGGGAGAGAAAGAGAGAGAAAGAGAGAATGGAATTTACAAAACCATTTATTCTGACATTTTACTGCGGCAATGAATTTCGAGTTGCTTCAAGCGCGTTACTCTTTTTTTTTCTCTCATTCTCTGTCGCCGTAGGCGCGACAATTAACACTGCGAAGTGTTTTATAATAAAGCACTTGAAGGCGTAATTAACGCTGTCCTGTATCCGAGCTGTCGCGCTTAAAAGACTTAAAAGTAACTCAAACTTATCTCTCGAAGCCTGTCTCCCCGTTCTATCTTTCGCTCTCTTCCTTTCACGATATTTTGTTTTCCCCTTCCCACCTCTGATTTTGCTTTCTCCCTTCCATCCTTCTGTTTTCTGTTCTCCGCGAGTTCTTTGTGCCCATAAATAATTCAGATGCTCGGGACATCGTAAAGACATTAACGAAGATAAAAGCTTTTAAGGAAGACTCGCCTGAATTCTGAACTCGTTGTATCGCTCTAACGATAATAACTCCGCAATCAGGTCGGACGATGTATTGTCTAAGCATAGGTATAGGCGTGCCAACATCAAACATACGTAAGTGAATAATAGTCAAAGTGATTAATCAAGTGCTTAGTTTGAGACAGATTTATCTTAATCAGATGCATGGCACATGCGGTATCAGGCAAATAATTATTGATGTTGAAATATTCTTACCCACTCCTTTTCCATAAAATTACGCGTCTAAAATTACCAATTATAAAGAATAATTTTGAATTTTATGAAAAATGAGTCACGAAAATTTAAAAGAAAATTATTAGTTTGTTTTAATAATATCACTTAAAATCTTATCATAATTAATATTTCATCTCACAGTCGCACAATTATTCAACAATGAATATTAATTATTTCCACGTAAAGTAGCGCATGAAAAATGTAAATGAATAATAGGAGCTTATTTACTAATTAATTTACGCTGGATTCTGTTTTAGAGAAAAATTAATGTTTGTAATGGCCGGAGGCGCAACAGTAATTTAACAGATTATGATAAATAGGTACTAGTTACACCAGTATAAGCAGAAGTGCGTTAATTTTCTTGTTAAAAATATATCTTTTATTTCTTATCTACAAATACAACCACACAAACACGCACATACACTATAAAGGATATAATTTCAAAAACAGTAGCAAATTTGTTTTAATTAAATTTATTATTAATTATCTCAGGAAATTGTTGCAACTCAATTTACGATTCTTATAAATTAGAATTCTTTTTATGGAAAAATGTTGTTTCTCTTTGCAAGTGACGCGTAGGTCTTAAGCACCTGACAGGATAATATAATGTTTTGTATTAAATATAATTTTCTCTTAATTATTTTATTTTAATTTATTTCTTATTTGTTGTATTATAAAATGTCTTCATGTCTAACATTGTTGTTACAGAGATCGAATTACCCCGATTCGCCGAGGAAGTCCAAAATGTGACAGTAAGCGTAGGACGTGATGCTCTGCTTGCTTGCGTGGTGGATAACCTAAAACATTATAAGGTACTTCAAATCAAATTATTTTTTTGTCTTTATTTTTTATATATGTTAAATGTCATATCGAATATTGTTATCGCGTAATTATCCAAATTGTTTTTTCCATTAAATTCATTGACAGAAAATATTCAGAAAAATTAACGGGAAAGCTTTCGAAAGCTTTTATAAGGTGATATGCTCGAAATGTGAAATTACCTTTTAGTTTTTGAACGTGTTGAATTTCATATGAAACGCCGTTATCGTATAATTATTCCTGTTCTCGCCGAGTTGAATTCGGTCCATCGATTGAGACACTCAGTCAAAAAAATTGAGGTCACGTATCTAGGTATATACCATACTACATATGACATATGACTATAATCGAAAATGTCAACTTTAATTTTTATTTCTTGCATTACTATTTCTCGCTTAATTCATATTCGCAAGATAAAAGTGTAGATAAAAGTAGATATGAAGAGGAAAAGAAAAATCTGCTAATATTAGGAAATATCTCTCTCTGTCACTTTCATATAAAGATACGTAACTAATGCATCTTATTTGTTGGATATTAACGTAGATATGACTAATATATTGAAATAAACAATGCAGAATGTCATCGTTAAGATAATATTTTTGCGCAAAATTGCCATTGAGTAAGATTCGAAGTTTTCTTGCCGCTTCGTAGAGAAGCGCTTGCACAAATTAAACGAAGATAATATCTGCTGAAATCCCTACGGCGTTTATGGTCCGTAGACTGCGAATTGGACGGTCCTAGTTTACGTACCGTTATCAAAGGCCTTGCATAATTGCTTCATTTTCCTTCAGTTAATTGAGATGACGTAACAATGAGATACAATTCGTTCTGCTGAGTAGCGACAACACTTACTGGATACGAGTACAATGCAGTTCGTAAGGAAAAGGAGGGCGTAAGCTAATAACACGTTCCTTCTTTCTCAAGATGGTGATCAGAATCAAGTAGAAGTTTATAAATTATTCCATGTTTCGCGAGCTAACTAACTCTATTTCTTTTCCTTTCCTCTGCCTCGTGCCCTTCGTGTCACGGAATTCTTCATTTCTTATTAAACGAGTTAAATTAAATTCATACATTTCCTTTAAGCGTATTTCAGGAATGTTCCTCGCTATATGTAATATAATCTGCAAGATATTCGTCACTCATCGCTTGAAAATTTAATGAGAGCTGAAAGATTTATATCCTCGTCGTTCGACGAGCTTTCGCGCTCTCGGTATTCACCATGCATTCCGAGGAGAAAGCATATTCCGCATTCAAAAATTTTCTTTTGACGGCATTTTGATTCTATTAATTATTCATTTTTTCTATAATTGAAAAACTTTTATATTGTAGAAAAATGTGAAATATTTTTACATCGTGCTGAAAAATTTTAAGCTTATAATATAGCTTAATATTTTTAGAGAGAATATCATCTTTACTTAGAGAGATTATTTTATATTATATAACATTTTTTTTATTTTTTATGAATAATCTTAATCTATCTAATATCTATCGCATATTAAACGTTGAATTTAAAATTAAATTATAATGCGTTAATAAAAAATATTAATTTGTAACTGTATTTATAATTTATACCTGTATTCATATCAAATTACTGTAAAACAATTATTGTACTGTCTTTAATATCGTTTAAAAAATAAATGGCATTTAATTTTGTTTTTATTTTCAAAAAATTTTCATAAAAATTTTAAAAATATTTTTATCTTAAATAGATAAGATTTTTTGAATCTTAAATTATTTACATACACTTAGTTCAAATATAAATTATTCAATAATTTCTTAACTATCGTAAGAATTTCATGTTTGGTGTAAACCATTCGTTGCGTCAATAAGAATATGTCTGAAACTTGTGTCGAGCTAAATTATTAAAGTAATAGTGTAATAAAAAGTAATACTCTAACTTGTATGAGCAAGAAAATTATGAATGTGTGCTCAGATGTCTTCGCGCATACAACCATCGTAGTCGCATGTATATATAAATACATAGTATATGTACATATATGTACGTATATATAAGTGAGAACTGAAATATTCGCGAGAGAGTGAGCTGATCTTTTCTACGAGCGATACTCTGCAGTCGTAGTACTGGAAACACGAAACATACTCGGGCTGCACTCGCGGTGGAAATTATACTGTAGAATTCGCGAGACTTCAGGCATGTTTTGCATGCTCAAGAAACCTTTTGCCTATATATCGGAAACTCAACGACGAAAGTGTGTGAGAGTCAGTGGTAGGAAGAAGAGTAAGTAGTTTTAAGTCTCAGTCAGTTCTTCTAGATCCATGTAGAGGTTGAAGAATACAATCTTGCTCGATTATTGGGTTGAGTAAGAGGAAAAAGAGAAGAACGCTTATAATAAAAAGAAATATAAAATCAGACTGTCTCAAAATTATTGCAGACAAGAAGGATATATAGGTTCTCGAAATTCTATAAAAGATATTTTATGATTGATTTTAACGTTAATGTCGTTGTGAGATACATTATTTTCGAAAAACGCGCAACATACACATATTTTTAATTTAAAATAATAAGCTCACAGTATTTAACTTGCAAATCAATAAATGTTTATCTGATTATTTCGTCATTTGGCATTAATGTACCGAGAGAGACTAATTCCATATCTAATTGCCATAATGAAATCGATTAGAAATAAAGGATGCATATAAATGGAATATATTGAACAATGTTTTGATAATTAAACAAATTAAAGTAAACGTATAAAAAAATAGAATTCAAGAAAAATGCGTTCTGACTTTTGTTTTAGGTGGCGTGGGTGCGCGTTGACACACAAACTATATTGTCGATTCATCAGAATGTAATTACTCAGAATCCACGAATATCTCTAACATACAATGATCATCGCTCGTGGTATCTTCATATAAAGGACGTACAAGAAGTCGATCGTGGATGGTATATGTGTCAGCTGAATACGGATCCTATGAAAAGTCGTCAGGGTTACATACAAGTTGTAGGTAAGTAACGCAATTTACGCAAAATATTTTTCGATGTCTACGATATATCTTTTATTCACATTCAAAATTACTTAAACTTTTATTTGTAATTTTTCCAAAAATTCATATAATGAAATGCACATAAATACCTACATAATTATTTCAAAATTAATTTTTTTTAATATTTATGTTGCAGTACCACCATCGATTATTACTAAAGACACCAGCACCGACATGGTGGTCCGCGAAGCTTCCAACGTGACGTTGACGTGCAAAGCGACCGGATATCCGGAGCCTTACGTCATGTGGCGGCGGGAGGATGGCAAGAACATAAATTATAATGGCGAAAGTGGTGAGTCCCAATTATAATTCACTATGATTTATATGCATAATCGAACGGATGGAGACGCGATAATTTTCGAGAATTAACGCCAGATATAAAATAATTATCGTTTTCATAATACTGTCGAGAAATGACGGTCGATATCGCGGTCAAATAATGAATAATATTGAATTGTTCAATGCCAGATTGGTATTCTCATTTAAATATTTATTACATTTATGTTAATTAATTTTGCAAGGTTCATTTAAGACCATCGATGATTCAAAGCATTATATTACAAAGTGCTAAACTTAAAAGTTCATAAATATTTCTGGTATCTGCGAATTTATAAGTGACGTGTCTAATATTAATTGAATAAAATATCTTGAATAAAATATTTCAAATTTTATACAATTTTAGCAATTTTAAAGTTTTATAAAATTTAATAAAATTACTATTATGACTATACTTTTTTACACTTATCACATGGTTATTATCACTTGCGTGATAACTTTTACTTTAAAAAATTGCACTTTTTTTACTCTTATGTCAACATAATTAAAATTGAATAGATAAATAATGTTATAAAATAATAGACGTAATAAAGCTCGAAAACAAAACAACATGTTAGCCATTAGCTAACGGATAATATCGTGATAATTAAATTTATTCTGCGTAATATAGAATATTTTATCAATTTTCCGATATTGAAAACAACTATGTTGCATGTTTATATCAATTAACTCGATTATCAATAATTGAGTTTATTTTAAATATACTCATTCCTTATGCTTTACATTTAAAGTTATTCATATTATCAGCAATATTATGAGATATTGCATAGAATTTTTATTTGTAAATAATAAATTTTTATGCGAGAAAATGCATACAACAAAACCTAAATGCTAAAAGGTACCATCCATCCGCTAACGCTGTGCTTTAACGATCAATTATTCCTCTTCTGCTCCGACATCAAAATTTGGTCGAGTAAGCCATGGCCAGAGCGCAATTATTCAGGTGCGGTATAACCACTGCGTATCGCCAAACTGTACTGTAATGTGTCCAAGAGTGCAGTTGCAATTTGCAGTTAGCTGCTGAGATCAATACATACATATATATATATATATATATATATATATATATAGCTATGTTACACGATAAAGCTTTTTCGATTTCTGCACAAATATAACAAATTCTTTCATTTTGTATTGAGTTTCTCAAAATATTTGTATCATTTGATTTTGTTTTTTTGTAGCAAGAGCAGAATGTATTTTTATTATAGCAACTGGGAAAGAACTGACATTTTTATGAGTCATAATTATTTAAAATTTTGCAAAAATACGTATGATTTTTATTTAAGAGTGAAAAATAAGGAATAAGATATGATCATTTTAATAAAACTATTGATTAATTGTGATAATTTTCGTTGAAAGTTGAATAGTGAATTTCGACGTAAAAAATGGATCGATAAAATGGCACAGATGTGAGATATTCTTGTTATTGCAATATCCTGCAAATGGTATTTACCCATATGACATAAAAACAAGTATTTTATTACGCTCGATCGACGCTAATTATCCTCTTGATTACTAATTATACAAAATATAAACCTGTCCACCGATCGGAATACAGAAAAGCGAGACGTCAAACCGTCTGGCAGATTTCGAAGGGTTTCCTCTCGATAAAGGTTCGGTTTAATTTCCACGCTAATTTAAATTTTCATTGCCCTTCAGGGATAGGCCGAAGCTGCGACGGAGAGGAGATCGTCAGGTCGTAAACCACTATCCCATACTAAACTGATCGTATAAACTGTTACTGATAAATATGGATGTCGCGTTCTGATATGGAAAAAATAGCGCAACTTGATCTGCTAATTATTCGCTACCGAAGTGATTTGTAAGATTCGATGAAATATATTTTATTTTTAATTTAGGAAACTTCTTATATAAAAATATTAAAAACAGATTATCATGTGTGGGGATTTATTGATAAATTTATATAATTAATTTTGATTCTATAATTTATTCAAGCTATTTTATTTTGAATTGCTCCTGTGATTAATCGGTACTAAGTTAGTGAACATGTTTTTTATCATTTTCTAAAGAAGCATCTTTGAATAATTTGCCTTAAGGCAAATTTATTTCACGAGCACAGCAAGATTTCTGCCGTTACTTTCAATTAAAGTACGCGTGTACGTAAATATTATTTAATACGTAAGCATCTTATCGCAAAAAATTGCATCTCTATCCGCCGTGCATTATTTCGCGATGCATTTGAAAGTACAAAGTACAAGTTATTTAATTTTGTCCTAAATTGAAGCTAGTCGTTGAACACAAATGTAATAGAAAAAGTCGATAATACCTACAGGACAAAAAAAGGGAGGATTAACTAGTAATTTTAAATTAGGATAATCAATACATGTGAACAAACACATTTATTGCTTTAAAAATATTTAGTTATAAAGAATTTGTGAAATAATGACTAAAATTACATAAATCGACATTTTATAATATTACAGCCTTAAAAAAGCAATAAACTTTTATGTTCGTGCGCAGCACATATAGAGCATGAGTGTTGAGAGGTTTAACATCTCTTAGAAGCTATGAATATTTTATTTATAGCTAACCATCACATACATCATCTATTTACATAAACTGTCTGCTTTCTAATAATATCTGTAATATGTGTAAAATTTTTGTTAACATTTTTATTTAGAATCTAATAGTATTTTCCTATTTAGAAAAATCAGTTTGATAAGCATCAAAACGTGAATCACTTGTTATATTTTAAGCTGCTTGAAAGCTTTCTGAACTGACATTTTTATTAACCTTTAAAGGTTTCGCAAGTTCTTAAATGCTTCTCGTTGGATATTAGGTTCGAGGAGGAAGGGAGAAGCAAGACTTCTTATATATAATAGAACCTAAAGTGGATTTTAAAGTGATTATTAGGGACTAAAGGAGCCGTACACTAGTATTATTGCTATAAAGTTAAACCATGAAGAAGGATTATTTTCCACGACATTAAAAGCGCGCAAGCAAATATCTTAGCAAACGATATTTCGCCGAGGATTTGATCAGAGATTTCCTTCAGTACTTTTAGAAATGGATTCTCATATCTCGTATCGGCAATTACGGATCTGTAAAATCGCCATACATTGACGCGCAATCGATATCAATCGACGCATAGGTATACGCGCCTTCTGGCGAACCGACGATCCGTCATTCGGGAGAAGCGTCAGATTATCAGCGTAATTGGACGAAATATCGCGGCGTGAATATGGCGCGCGTTCGAGCCGTACGACGGCGTTACTAACTGATGTGTTGGCCTCTAGGGCACGAGGGATGGGCTAACGCCATTACTTTCCTGCCTGATAGCCTCCAGACACCCTCGAACCCTCGAAGAAAGTATAGATGGTTGTCGACTTCTCTCGCTTCTCCTCCGGATCGAAGGTATACCTGGCTCTCTCTCTCTCTTTCTGCCACCTCGCTTCGGAGGCAAAGGGACCGAAAAAGAATGGCCGAGAGAGATGAGAAAGCAAATCGAATTTAGCAAAACTATCGTAGCGCATCGAGGCGCCGTCGTTGGGGATATGGTGCGCCGGTGTTGGTGTTGGTTGTGGTGCGAGGCACCTGCAGGTACGAGGGAGATTTACCTCCGGCGGACAGGCCGGAACTGATCGTGCGGAAGGACGACGGTGGGGAGGACTACGAAGGAAGGGAAAGATAAAGGAAGGCGCGGGCGGGAAATTAGAGCGCCGGCGGCAAATAAACCACGAGGACGGTGAAAACGAATTGTCGCGCTACTCCCGTGTCCTTAATACGATCGTTCATAAGAGCGATAACGTTCGCGTCCTGGTAGGAGGAACTTCCCCAGAATTGGTACAAACGGAAAGAGCAGGAGGTATATTCGCATCCGATACCACGGGATGAGGTTTACCTGCAGCCAGAAGATGCGAAACCTACCCTCGTTCACTATAGTTATGGAAACGCGTATTCTACATCGACATTCTCGTCGAGGGTCGTTTCGCGTGCTTCGTGCTCGGAAAACGCGATTTTGGTCTCTCTCACCTTTTGCCTTGCTCCGCTACCTGTCCATCCTGCGTCCGTGCCATTTCCATCAGTACCAACTGATCGAACGAATCGGTGGCGTTACCCTCTCAATGTATACGAACGAACTCTAAACTTGTTTGCGCGCATATGTGTGAGCGTGTGTGTGTATATATGACGCGTACATCGCGCAACCATCATCCACCCTCATCTACCCTCGCTTCGCCGACGCGATTATCGTGGATCAATGTGGCGGCACGACTGTGATTATATGTATACACACGAATTCTTACATATATGTGTATGTATATATACTGTTTATTTACCGTTAAATGTATGTATATACATAAAGTCATGAATTTGCACGCACACACGCCTCCTTTCGCTCATCTGTTTAGATCTACAAAGGAGTGAAGATAAAGGGAGATAAATAGATATATAGATGGAGAGGCGAGGAGAGATAGATAGAGATAGAGATATGCCTCGAGTATTTCCGTTACCGATCCTCTCACCAGTATCCTGGCAAGGCTTCTCCGTTAATGCGACCACGGCTTGTCGGCGCGAGGCCGACATAACGCGACGCGACTGGAAAATCGAAACTGACAACGAGCTGAGTTTCCCGCCGGTGTGCCGGGAGACGAACGTACAGGAGAATAGGAGGCGATGTGCATCGAGTATAAAGCACGGCGCAAAGTCGGCTATGCTCTCGCACTCATTTTCGCGCACATCCAACTCGCTTAGTTCTATGCCAGAACGAACCTACACACATACATATATACGCATATATGTATGTATATATATATATATATATATATATATACACACTGAAATATATATATATACACCAAGCTTCAACCGGTATCGAACGTTCCAATGGCGGTGGTACGCCAATGCTTGCGGTGAGAAAGCACGTTACGTTTTCTCGTTACCGTTTGAGGTTCCTTTGTGCCTTCCAAACCGCTGGTAAAGTCAGCGTTCAGCACGGAGTCAATATTATCTGAGAAATTTCTCGCTGGAAACTGGAATATAATAGCCCCGTCTCTTTCATTCGCTTTACGCGATGCTGCACTGCAAACGTAATTTGTCCTTCAAATCTGGTGACGTCAATCGTTCGTGACAATCGATCGTTAATATTCTCTGAATTCGAATGCAGTAACGAGCGGCTTCATTTTTCCATCACGACGGTTTTTATACAAGTTTCAATCTCTTTCGCTCTCTCTCTCCCTCTCTGCTTCTTCTTCTGATAAAATATTTACAAATATTTATCGAAAAATATTAAATATTTATATTTTTTATATCATGTATATGTGTGTTTACAAATAAACATGATAATATGTAAAATTTATTCAAAAATAACTGCGCGTTTATTTTTTATATGTTGAAAAATCAAGAAATAATTTTCTATTTTTCACGTTAGAATAGACAAATGATTAATAATAATAAAAATACATTTTACACATTCCCAATTTTATTATAGAACATAAAGAACATAGATTTACAAACTATGAATGAAAATTAATATTTGTGCTTTTTAATATTTCATATAATTACGCTCTGTCACGCGATATGGTGCCGTTAACACGCTTGTTAAAACGTTCTCGTGTCCAGCGCAATAAATACATGGAAATCACTTACTACGTCTGGTCTAACATTCGCGGATGCATTAACGGCAATAATCGTTGGCCGGGGATTCCCGCTTGGGAATGAATGTACCCGGGTTATCTTCCGGTTATAACGCGAAAAAGGGCACTTAAAGCTACGAGAAAAGGGGGACGGGATGAAATATCTACGACCCATCCTTCGCCTTATGGGCCGGAATACATCACGTACTAATTCCCAAATAGGTGGCCAACCCTCCACTTCGTCTTCGAGTAAGCTGTTCGCTTATTTTTACGCCGCCGAGAATACGCCGTCGGGGAAACGTTATGCAAAGTAGCTACCTGCGTCGCGCTTGCGCATCGACACAAAAGGGACGTTAATTTATTTCGGGAATTCTTCCACATGCGCGCGCGCGCCACCGCATTCTGTGCATTCGCGGTTTAAAAGCTTCGGTGGAGCTTTGAAAGATTTCGCGTCATTTACAGACGCGTTTAATGTCGCTTGAAAATTTTTGAAATACTCTTTGTCCGCAACGCAGTCCGAAGCTTCATCAAATCCGACGATGGAAAGCCAATTTTGTGCTCGAAGCTTAATAATGTTGTAGTACGAGAATATAGCGCTGATCTTTTTAGGTCAACGCAGGCAATATCGTTATGCACATGCGTCTATATAAACTTTGATATACACATATAATATTCATGTTAATATATACATAACATCTGCGTCAGACATCCCTCTCTTCTCCAGTATCCCAGCATTAGACACAAGTATTTTTCCATTATTTTTTCTTTTTTATTTTTACTGGCAATTTATAAACTTTGAACTTTTCATTCCCACGTTGTCAGATAGACAGGCCGGAATTGTTGATTGTGGAAAAAATATATATAAATGTTTTTATATGATATTCGATCCTAAAAGAAGGTTGAAAAATATCGTGGAAAATTAAAATTAAAACACAGGAAAAAAAAAGAGAAAAATTACAGGAGCAAATGAGGGATGCGAATCCCGTAAGAGTCGACGCGATAACTTTATTAATGGTGCTATTTATACACTGTAATGTGACGTGACAACGCGTGAGCTCACGCGATATGATAATACTGTGTTCTAATCTTAACTGGCATCGATCGCCGTTCTACCGTGAAATATAACGGATCCGCGCAGTTAAATTGAGCCACACTTCGATCGGACACGGAGAAAAGAGACGATAAAATTCCGGCGTGCTCGAAAATAATAATTGTCCACGTTCTTCTTTGTTCCACTCCTCCATCCTCCGCCGTGAAATTCCACCCGGCCGGGCCATATTGCGGTTTCCCATTAAGCCGAAAGTTTTAAAGGTTCCCGCTAAACCGGTAAGCGGGTAGTTCCGACACAGGACCTACGGGACTACTTGATTAAAACCCTCTGAAAGTGCGACCCGCCAGCAGAATCTCCCGGCACTCTGCATTGTTTATGGAACAATAGATAGGTTTGCCGCGCAGCTTGTAGCACGGGCTTGGTTACCAGGGATTCAGCACCCTCTCGCGTTCTACTACTGGCCGGGTAACAACTTTATCCCTTTCACCGCTTTCATCACGTGTATATGTATATATGTGTGTGTGTGTGTGTGTGTGTTGCGTTTTCTTTCAACAGCGAAAATCTTCAGTTGCGCCCGCCGGCGGAATTTAATGGCTTGCAATTTTCATTTTACCTGACGCGAATCTCTTGCAACTGTTACACGTAACTATATGCAAATGTGAAAACTGCTCGCAATAATGCGTGTATTTATGTATACCGCGTGTATCTGTGAATTTATAGATATTATTGCATCTACTAATTTCAAAAGTATTGTCGATTCTCGTATCTTTTTATGTTGCACTTATAAAATAACGCATTAAAAATTGAATCATAGTGCAACTATGAGGAAAGCGAGGGAGAAAAAGAGGAAACATGAGAAATATTTTTATAAATATTAAAACGCGTAATGCGTTTGAGGACGTTAACCTGTAGCAACTTATGCTTTTATGATATCTTATTGCTTCTATCTAGATAGGTCAAATAGACGTAAAGTTTCCTGCCGTTCACGATGCTTTTAACCTTATTGCAGGAAAACCTTAAATAGGTTTTTCATTGCGATATATGTTGTTTATCTTTGCATTTTCTTCTGTCGAGTATTAGTTTCGAACTAAATAATAATAAGAGAAGTCGCATCAACTTCCATCGTTTCGCGAATTTGCGTTATTTCAGTCACATTTGACGTAATAAATTTGCATGATAAACACACACATAGTAGCTCTAAAACACTTTTTTGTATTATTAAATCAATTCTATTAATATTATATCAATCTAAATTTGCAATTAATTATCATATATTATACGAATTATTTATTTATACAATTCGTGTAATATATGATAATGAATTATTTAAGTACTATTTAATTGTATATTATTGAAGTATAAAAAATGCATAATGCATAGTACACGTATATAGAATAAATATTATGTTAATATATAGATCATATATATATTTTTTTTTCACTTTCTAAAAGTTTTGAAAAAGTTTGGTCAATGTAAATAAAATATGAGAGGCAATTGTTGAATATGTCAAGTGATTTCTATATCTAAACGACGAATATGATAGCGCGTGCAATCCATTGAGTGGCGACAGCAAGGTAAAATAGATCATTCCATCAAACATAGGAGTTTCTCTGTTAATATGACGATCCGCTTTCCACTAGCAGTGGTCAACATACGTTATCTGTGTAATCGTTCTCGAAATCAGGATAAAGGCACATTCGAGCTATAATGTGCTTTTTGCTTGCCTATGCTATTATCGTTTGTAACATGAATTATATGAGGATAACCGTAGTAATGCTGCTGAAGTAATCTCCTCAAACATTAAAGTATAATAATTTATCCCGCATACATTTGTCTGTACATAACGATATATGTAATAGCAAACAACGCTCTAATAGGTATGCATTTAGAAATACAATCTCTCTCTTGCGACCGCATATCATCGTGCAGGAGATGAAAAGATACGTGACTTTTGAGACATTTTGCATATATATAGTGTATTTATGATCGAATAACCTCTAATTTACATTTCCGCTTTGTCCTTATACTGTTATAATTGAGGTTTCTCGCGCGAGACAGAATCGATAGCAATAATGTGATTATCAGCTCATATACATGTCTTTAATGTCTAAGCAACCCTTGTGACAAAGTTCCGGGGTAACACTTGCCTTTACTTTGCGCCTTTGTAGAGTTTAATTTGCTTCCTATCTATCTACTTTATGCGATCTGCGCCAGTCATATCAACCAACATGCCAGAAATGAATGCAGCGTAGATGCAAATAGCTCTCCAGGAAGGCGCAAAGTGCTCTTTGTCACACGACATGCAATAAAAGTTTCGACGCATATGCGCATCGCGCTTTCAACGTCCTCTCTACTATGGTGCATTGCTGCCTTCTTTGTCGGCATTATCAATATATATCCCCGCGCGTTTCGAAATAATGCCGATATTATCATGGCAAGCCACGCGCTTATTAATTCGTGAGAAGAATTACAACTGCGACGAGCAGTGTGTATTTATATGAAATTGCATTATACGTCCTACAATATAATTACTTTGCGTGGAATATGATATACGGAAGGGGATTTTTCAACAATCTGCTATTTGCAACGCGCGCGCGAAACGCGTTTTAATTAAAAAGTATATCGTTTAATTCAAAATTGAATCGTTAACTAATTGTTAATTGTAGAGCTCGTAATAGAGCTTTTACGACTCGTATTCTCTCTTGTAACAATTGAGTTGCAAATATTTTATCTTACAAATAAAAACCGATGGAGAAGAGCGTTGAAATAGTATAATAAATACATCTTCCTGGAGGCTTTTACAGTTTATATGCTAATATTATGTGAAACATTTTATGTTTCAGTGAATGTTGTGGATGGTGAAGTGCTGCATATCGTGAAGATAAGCCGCCTTCATATGGGCGCTTATTTATGCATAGCTTCAAACGGGGTTCCACCATCGGTGAGCAGGCGAGTCTCCCTGCGTGTACAATGTAAGTCACTAATTTCCTTTCGTATTATCCAAAGAATTCTTATCGTATGCGTGAATATTTTTTCAAACACTGTCTGACAAAATTTAATGCACACAAGCGTAATATAAATACAATAAATATGTCGTTTTTAACAAGTGGTGAGAGAATTGCATATGCACACAGTTATATATAGAATTTCTAATAAAAAGCAAAAATTGGTTATTGAAAATTTTTTTATATAAAATTTAATATATATTTATAAATACAGATTAGAAAAACATTTCAAAATATTCGTAAAGTAATAGCTTTCTGCCTATTAACCTAACGAATTCAGATAAAATCAATAGTTTGCAAAGTCAGCGATTTTAATATTGATTTCTCTGATTGAAAAAGTTTGCGGGAATTATTTTCCAGCGCGAGTATCGAAACTGAGCCAATCGAAACTTCGAAGGATCGTGTCGGATAATCAAACATAGATTAAAATGTCTGTGAATGTGAATGAATATATCTTTTAAGCATATATGCTATATATGCTTTAAGCATATTATATTTATGTATAATATATGTTATAATATATGTACGTATATATATATATATATATATATATATTGATATTCACGGTTGTAATGTATGACAAGAAAATAATAAATAAAATCATGTAATTACAAATATTAATTATTTGTTTTTCAAGAGAATATTAATGTGTCAATTTTATTAAATTATATAAAAACAAATTATAATTAAAAATAATACATATAATTTTAACCTTAACTTTCTTGTTAAAATAATTTGTATATATATATATATTATATATACAAATTATTTTAACAAGAAAGTTGAGGTTAAAATTATATGTATTATTTTTAATTATAATTTGTTTTTATATAATTTAACAAAATTGACACATTAATATTCTCTTGAAAAACAAATAATTAATATTCGTAATTACATGATTTTATTTATTATTTTCTTGTCATACATTACAACCGTGAATATCAATATGAGAATATTGAACGATTGATTCGCTTTAGATTATATTGATTTTACATCAATATTATTTTATTGAGCGCTGAATTTGACGCTGACATCATCGATTTCTTCGTGTATACGCCATTAGCGAAAACTACGCCGTCATCGTAATACTATGCACTTTGGTATTATGATAAGAGTGGGATAAAACTCAGGAAGGAACGACTATTGTCGCGTAAGAATACCCGCGTATTTTTCTGTGCAAGAAAAGATGATAAGAAAGGATGATGGAGAGAAACCCGTTTTTATCATACCTCCCCGATTGCAAGGCGCGCGTAACTTGGTAAATGCCGGTCGCTGGAGCAGTAAAGTAGATGTCGGAAATATTATACTTTTAATAAACTCGACGTGGTTCATAAACGTTAGAAATGAAATAAAGCCACTAGTTTTCTTTGATATATGAAGTACGCTAATATTGTTCCCCGTAAGCTTTTTATTAATCTCCCGGCGAAGTTGCGCAAACTCCCCTCGTGTTGCATTGAATTTTTAATAGGTGTTACAAGTGCTTCGTTATTGCATTTTATATGACACGTAGATTTGACATACAACACATTATATGCATTATATACATTTTATGCAAGAATTATTATATGCATATATCTATTTTTATCTTGTATAAACATCGCACAATAATTTAAATCATATTTGACGATGCATAAAATTCAAGAGTGAATATCGGCGGTTTATGTAAACTGAAAATATTGCATAGATGTAGGTGAAAAAGGAAATGCATCATACATACATACACACATACACGCGCGCGCACACACACACACACACACACACATTTGAAACATATTGTCGTCGCTGCAACTCGATGAAGAGTCGTTGTTCCTCAACCGTAAAAGCATCCTCGCGGTGCACCATGCATTAGGTCGATTTTCAACGTCTCATTTAGCCACCGATTTATATACTTGACCTAGATATGCTCTATATACGTTCGTTTATCCCCGCGCAGCCATTTTCAAACGCCACCCGAACCTTCATCCGGCAATTCCCGGGTTCTACTCACAATCAGTTTGGGGTGCGAAACGCGTCTCTGCGTCGTCTTTTCTAACACATTAGTTTCTCGCTTCTGCGTCCCTGGCTGTTTTTTCCTCCTGCGGGCAAGCACAAATATTAACAATCGTTCAAGAAATTCGAGCCACCCTCGATTTCGCACGTGAGTCACGAATCGCGTCAACTTTTTGACCACTCACAAATGGATCTAGTGTTTTCTCTTCGGATTTCTCGTGGATATTGTACGGAATATTATTGCACCATTTATTCTCCCACAGATGTTGATCTGATGCGCACGTTGCATGATAAATGTACGAGTATTACTAACGCGTGGCATGAATTAATACCGATCGTGTATCATAAAGATATATCATCGAACGCAGCTTTTTGAGTGACTTTATCTTCAATGCATTCCGAGCCTGCCATTTTCATATATTGTACACGATTATAGCGTAATTTATATAAAGATTAAATCGTTCCAACAGCAGTTAATTGTAAAAGAAAAAAATATAGTAAAACTTTTCTTTTTTTTTTTTTTCAAGAAATTATATTTAAAAAGATATGTTAGATTTATACTTAGAGTTAAAATTTGAAATAGATAAAAATGTGAGAGAGAATATTATAAAGAGAGTTAAACATATTCTTACATATTTCTGCGTATATCTCTTACTAAAAGATAATTTTTGATTGAATAAATATTTAAATATCAAAAAATTTTGAATAGTATTTTGAGACATGCGCGTGTGCGCAACGTAAAGTTTGATAGATAAGAATTACGCTTCTGAAATACGTATTGAATGATGTGCAATCAAAGTGTATACTCGCTCGCAGTCTATAGATTTATCGATAGCTCAGCAGGATGGTTGGGGAAAGAAGATAGGTGGAAAAACTACCCTCCGTAGTTCTGTCGAAAGTGCACCTGCTGCTAGTAAATCGTGATTTACGTCCGTTCGTAAAAGACGAAAATATGACACGATATATTGGGATATCTATATCGATCGAAAGAGAACGGTTTCGCATTTATGATACACCGATATCAATTGAAAGTCTTCATATAAAATAATGTTTTCTTTTCAAGGAAATACTAAACGTTACGCCTGACTAGCAAAATGATAAGTTGATTGCTTGATAAAAAAATATGAATTTCTCGCGGAAGAGTTTAATATTACCGTATATCTTCATGCAAGTATCTATTTAGAAGAAAATTTAAAATTTACGTCGTGTTAAGGATTAATTGAATAAAGCATTGCCAGTGTGGTCGGATTTTAAAATAAACCTTTTTTGATTTAATTTTATCTACTGGTGACTTTCATCAAATTTGAAAAATTCAAATTATTTACAAAATATTTATTTTATTTAAAAAATTTTCTTCTAATTTTATTTTCACAATATCATTTCTTTTGCAGCTGAAGGCGATAGTTCCATAAAATAATACGAATTAATTTAATTAATGATTTATTCTCCTTATACAGAGTACGTGATAATATGAATGCAAGAGATATTTCTAAAATTTTATTTTTTTATTCAAACATTTAACAAATATAAGGACAAGAGAAGTCTTTTTATATAGCTTCTTTTGCTCGTTCAAAAATATTAAAGAAAGTTGGCTCGATAAAACTAACACGCAGCCTACGTTGCATGCAACTGCAGACAAATGCTTACTTTCAGATAGTGCTTTTAAATCGTGACAACTTCCGGTGCAAATATGGGCAATTGTGTATAGTTGCATGCAATGAGAACTGCGTGTCGACTGCGCTTTTCCGTGAACATTTCATTGAAATTTTCAGACGTCGAAAACAACTTGAAAAAGACTTTTTTTACATGTTTGCACAAACTTTTTATTATTTTGAATGAGTATACTCAGTTTAACAGATTTGCAAATTGTTCTAGATTAGTTTGATTTTGGCAGGATAACTTCTATTTTATTAATCTTGTTTTTTTTTCTTAATTATACTAAATGTGTAATTTTACATAAAAATATAATATATACAAAAACGTTGACAGCAAAATCTTATGAATAATATTAAATTTTTTGATTAATATCTTGATTTAATTAATATAAACAATTTAAAATATAATTATATATCATTATCACAGTGAATATCACATTTCTGATTTACAGTTCCACCTATGCTTTCAATACCAAATCAGTTGGAAGGAGCCTATATTGGACAAGACGTAACTCTTGAATGCCATACTGAAGCTTATCCACTTTCAATAAATTATTGGACAACAGAACGTGGCGATATGATAGTGTCTGGTAATTTTAAAAATCCAATATTCAATTGTCATTTACAGTTACATGTCTAATATAATTATAGTTATATTTAAGATTCTCAATTTCATGAGTAAAATATAATTTTTTGAATCTATATAATGTTACATTAAATTTTTGTAGCTATTCTAAAATTATTTAGCACATAAAAAAAGATAAAATATCGGCCATATGATTCCGATAATTTTAAAAATCAGATATATCTTTCATAATATATTATTCTATATTTAGTTTCTTATATTTGAAATCCTCGATTTTGCAAGATTTTTTTAACATATTATTTCTAGCTTGTTAGCGATGTAAAAAAAATTCTTTAAAATTTTTTAAATAACAGAAACATTTTCAAATTTCACTCATTTATGCACACACAATAATATATGTATATACTTGTATTTTTGCAAGATAATATAAATTATAACATTATTTTATAAATAAACATTTATTTTAGTTTTAGTTTAAAAATAAATTAAAAATTTACATCCTTATTCAATATTTCAAGACTTTGTTTATTCGCAGAACATATGAGTGTAAGAATTAAAAATAAATAGATATAGTTATATAAAAACATTCTTAAAAATTCTCGATATACATAGACATACGTCAAACTAAATTGTATTTTTTTATATTGAACAATTTTACTATTTTAGTTTAAAATGAAAGACGGAGGACTTGGTTTTATTGGCACAGGCAATTCTGTTTCAGGCGACAAGTACGAGGCGATAGCCACCGACAGCGGCTACAACAAGTACATGATGTTAAAAATAAGAAACGTTGGTCCGAAAGATTTTGGTTCGTATAAATGTGTCGCACAAAATTCCCTTGGCGGAACAGATGGCATCATCAAACTAGATGGTAAGTCGTTCAACAGTAATAAAAAGGGCGATGTATATTTGATTTGATATAAGCACACGTAAAAATACATTTAACATCGCGCATTGAAAAGTATCGGACGAGTATATAATTGTGTTTTATTTAAGATCGGTTATTCCGACCGAAGTCGACGTCTACTAATGACGGCGCTAATGGTGAAATAATTGGTTTCCAATAGTCAGTTACTCTATTAGATATTTGAGTCTTCGTCGTTAATGAGGGACAGACGGGGTCGAGCATACTTCTCTTACGAGTATTAACCATAATTGCCTATTAAATTTGTGTTGAACATATAAATATATAGTTGTTAAATGCTGTTTTTTCAAAATATTCCAGACACTGCTTAATATTTCAACGTGTGTAAACTATAAAAAGATTATAACTTTACATAATATACGACCAAGTAGAGAAAAAAAAGGAACGATGAAAGGTCGCGATAAAGTTCTTGAGGTTTGACGATGAGCCGTTTTACTCCAAAATTAGCGTTGTCTTCTTGATAATGCTAATAGTAGACTGGAAGGAAAGTTTTATTTAGTTTAAGCGACAACGCAGACGAAAATAATTGCATATAGGCCAGCCCGACGCGTCTCTCAGCATCGCATACTTGTGAAGACTTCTCGTAAAACTTCACAAACTTCTGCACTTTCATAATATCTAACATACTTATGTCCATCTTCAATATTGTTTCATAACCGTCAGCGCCTGAATGCAATTTTGTACATGCACGCACACACGCACACAAAATATTCTTACACACACGTTCATTTCAATATTGAAATATATTACTTATTTTATTTTGACGTAGAAATCCCAGCTCCATCGACCACGTCTACGACGCAGTCTCCGTATTACGCAACGTCGTCACACAAGAACGGTAATTATATATAAAGTCGCACATTTAATAAATTTCTCTCCAAGTTGTTTTTGTATCTGTTTCATATGTATGATACGTAGACACATTAAATGTAGGACAGCGGTGAGAAAAACGTGATGTATGAGATTTAAATTGAGCGGTAATGTAGCATTACGTTAAACCGCCGGAAGCGGATAATGCGCGGATATCGAATAAGGTAGAATAACCGTTTCACGTTAGGATCGAACCAAACTCTCCTGACAGAATTTCACTTATTTTTCGATTCCTAAAACCTTCCATTTTCACTCTTCGTAGCTTACCGCGTATAGAGCAACTAAAATGTATATATAAAATCGCCTTTGTGTAATGCATTTTAGGTAGAGACAGTAACAAGAATTCACGACGACCTATCGACTATGAGATCGAGGAATGGAAGCGAAATCCAGGTCAGTAAATATCTATTTTAACAGGCTCCGCGTAGAGCCCAGGCATTTCCCACGACGATACACGTTTCTGCCTCGACCGCCATGTCGTTCGAGTAATTAGCGTAATTAAAACCTCGTCAACGCTGTACGATCGGGACGGTAGAGGAAGATCCTAAGAGAGAAAATCCACTAAATTGGCAATGCTCGGTGATCCACTTTATCCGCGAACGAATTACTTCGTCGCGTTACATGACTCCCCTTTTATTGACCGAGAAAGATTCTGCGGTCATCCCTTCGCTGCCTGTAAAATCGAGCGAAAAAATATATATATATACATTAACTGATTGCTTGTTTGAGCTCATTAAGCGAAAGTCGATAACCGCGCGCAATTTTTTGCGACTCTATACGCGCCGCGGATGGCGAAAGAAATTGAAAAGTTTAAGACTTGCTTGATTTCAGCTATAAAGAGCGAAACGTCGATTAGTATAACCTTTATACCAAATTTTCAAACTTTATATTGAAAGGAAAATTTTGTGAATAGTTATTATATTTTTTTCGTTGAAATATTACTTAAAAAATTATGTGTATTGATATGTACTTTTATTATTATTATTATTATTATTAATTTGCGTTATATATAAACTTGTGATCGCGTGCCCCGTTCTTCCATTACAAATTTGCATATAGTGAGCCACGGTTAAGCTGCGAGGGATTATAAGATATTCTTCGTAAATTTCCTAAGATCTTCGTGCAAATTTACTATCCCCAGATTTTGTACTTCAATTACACTAATCGTTTATATAATATATTATGTGTCGTATTTAGTGGATCTTTAAAAAAAAAAAGAAAAAGAAAACATTTTTGTAATTTTACTGCGGAAATTCGATGTATTTGAAAAATAATGATCACGCGAAATAAGTTCTGGCACTTGAATACGTTTAAATAAATCGTTTTCTGTGGTATTTTCGTCAATTACGATCTTTATTGCGAAAGGCAGACTTGGCGCATTAACTTCGAACTCTTCGCAGATCCTTATATTATACAAGCCAGCTGCTGAAGATTGGCGGCAGAATGCAAGTTCAAAACTCACTTCGAATGACTTTGTTCAAAGATTCCCCCGAGCGTTGGGCCAGTTCTCCCTTCCTGAAGTTTACTTTCAATTAATGAAAAACGAGCTGCGTTGACCCGCGGCCGTCTGCCTCCGGGATCAGGAAGTGGAAAAGAGGAAATGGAAAGAGGCAAACTCCTTCGATACTTTTTTTTCTTGCCTTTTCCTTTCTTTCTCCAAAAATCGATTGACTTCGAGAATCTTATGCACACAATTATGTGTGATTTATGTACTGTTCGATTTATATTACTTCCGATTAATCGTTACTCTTTTATTTCTATCGAGGAACAATTGATGAATCTTACGATTAATAAAACTACAAAAAAAATGCATAAAATAATTCGAAGTAACAGTTCATTTTTTTCTGAATGTATACGCGTGAATAAATCTGAAGGAAAATTATGGACAAAAGAGGATTAATTCTTTTACAAAAGTTAATTTATTTAAATTAACAGAATTTGTAACAATTATCATATCAATGTAGAATTATCTTAAGGAGAAATGTAATAATAATAATAATGTTTAAATATAAGGATAATAAGATTTAAATGTACGCATTATTTGCTTTAAATTGAGTTTACGTAACGTTCTAGCACAGACGTTCGTCTAGTCTTCGAGTAATTGCAAAACCCGAAATATAATCAATAATAAGACCGAATGTACAGGCCAAAGTTGTTAAAGAAGTTGTTAAAGTGTTGGAAAATGGCTCGTCTGTCGCAGACTATGCGGAAAGTCACGTACAGTGGATTTTACTGGTAGGTGGGAATAACTTTTTCCGAACGAACGTGCGGTTTCGACGTCCGTTTCTGGCGGGCAAGCCAAGGGGCGCGCACGATGAACTACTCTCGAGAAACGCCCTGCATTTGGGACGACTATCCGCCGCGCCGGTGCTAGGAAAAAGGCAAAAACAGACATTTTCTCGAGTCGTTACATTCCGGCTTTTTGGAGAGAACAAATTTTGTTAATATCGTTCTAAACGTTCTATCGCGGGACTTTTGCGAAAGATTGGAAAAAACCGGTGCAAAAAATATTCGATTTATATACCATGTGAAATCGAACTCTTAAATATTTGGGGTAACTTAACACGGACACTGGGTAATAATGATTTTAGACTACGCGTCGCTAGTTAATTATTATATCACATTTAAAATCAAATTTCTCTAATTATTGATACATATATATTTTATTAAAATGTTATTCTAATGATTATATCAACTATTAACGTAATGCGTGTAGTTTTTGAAATTTTATTGACACAATTTAAAAGTGGAACGAATAAAAGTTTTGTTTTATCCAGAGAGTTATCACTATTAATAAATGCAACTCATTACAAGGGAACAGATCCTAAATTATTTGATAATGCCGTGGATGGAAGTCATTAAGGCAAATCGGGGTGAAGTTTTATCGCGGTAATAATCGTACATTCTGATGTATGGTCTACCGTCATTGATATATTCGTTTCTATACCATTACTAACTATACATTAGTGCCACAGGTGGCGATATTGATTCGACTTCAATTCATTTATCAAAGTTCAGACAATCAATAAAAGTTACTGTCAGAAGATGTGAATTTAATCGGATAGAATGGAGCTTTTTCTGGAATTTCTGAAGCGTTTGCATATTATTTGATCTACTTTATGTGTCAAATGTACGTACTATATCTTATAAGAAATTTATTGATAATTTCCTAGATAAATATACTAATAATATATATAAATTATTCTTTATAAGATATATTTAAATACTAATTCATGCTTTATAAAATTTTATTATTAAATATATATTTTGCTATCACTTTTATTATTATTTATTATGTTAATTGAACAATGGTATTTAATGTAGACACGATTTTGTTTTTGACAGACATGGAGTTTGTTTAAAAATTAGTTGAAAAAATGTTTAAAACTTAAAACATCTAAAAATATTGTTAAGCTAACTTCAATATACACGTATAAGAATTTCTGACTTTATGCTACATCTCATCGGTGTCCCATCACTCTTTTCGCCGCATAACAAATGAAAAAGCTCGCAAGACGCATCTGCGAATTACTGCGGCACCACAATTAATCCAGTAACATTTCATCCGGCGTTTCTTTGACGGTAACGGCTGATAAGAGGCGATTTAACAGACGTCGGATGTATTTAATCTCAAATGAATTTACCCTTTCCGCGTTTCTCCCGTGCCCGCCGCTCCTCATCGCCGAGGGTTTTATCTCGTTAAAAAGGGATTTGTGCGCGAGTTGAACATCGCAGAAATTCCGGTAGAACCGAGAGTTCGCCCGAATTTAATTCCCGGACGCGAGAGGGAGGAGAGATGCCCGACTGCCCCTTCCTCTCCCTCTCGTTTGGCATTATCCGCAACAACTCCTCGTATTTATCTTCCGTATCCGCTCGTTACCGTACGTGCATGTACACTCGGCAGCGCCGAGAGAACGAGACCACCGAGGAAATGAGCCGCCGAGCTTGACGATTTCGCGTATGCTCAAGCGCCACCGACTATTTGTTCCTGGACGCGTCGGCCGGAACTATGGCAAACGATGGTTATGGAGGCGAGGCGTTATGCGAAAATAAGGCCAAGAAGTTTGGCCGAAACGTGGTGTCGACGGCGGTCGGTTGATACAAAGTGTAACCGGTATTTCGCTGGTGTAACTGTCCGCCCTGCGGCGAGTCTCATTAGTCGGGAGAGAAAGAATATTAGCTTTTAGTCAATGAATAAGCTCTCTTCTTTTATTAGCAGCGCAACCCTCTCTGCCTTTATTACGCGAGATTGCGTTACTTTTTGTTACAGATGCAATACTCGGTTATAATTAACGCGCGGTAGGATATCTAATATTTGCGCCAACTTTATATTTATTAGAAAATAAAAACTTATTTTATTCTTAGATGAATGTAATAATCTATTCCTCTATTACAAAAGATTTTTTATTATTAGCACAAAACTTAAATAAATATTATATCTATTGTTCTAGCTTCTACTCGTAAAATCACAAATTAGATATAAGTTCCATTTTATATAGCTTAATAATAATTATAAGATCAAGTGAATGTATTCGTAAGAAGAAAATATATATTCACATATCAAATTAATATAATATTTAAATCTAGAAGATAATATTTAACTTTACTAATCAAACGTTTTTGTCATTAAAAATCTTTCTTTGTTCATATATTTTAGAATGATTAAAATGATACATTTTATATGTAGAATAATGCTAAAAAAAAAGAGAAAATTTTAATTATTTTTTCACATTCGTCTCCATTAAATTAATGGTGTATTAGAAAACGTAAGAATATAAGGTTGTATCTTTAACTTTGACTTCTCAAAAAGTTAGAATATATAATAATTAATAATATTTGTATCCATATCATCGAAAATTCTCACACATCTAAACTTTTCTATCCGTAGAATTTACGTTAAGTTTATGGTAATGTTATCACGAGATTCCTCTCTCTATATAAACGTACGGGTCCTTTCCGGTTCAGTGACCGACTAAACTAGAACTGAACTAGAAGTTGCCTAACCGACTACGCTGGAACTTGATCGAAAGCATATCTCATACGTTATACAGTATCTCCTGGCTTAGTTTCACATTCCAATTTTCTTCTCCACTCTTCTTCTTCCTTATAGCGTCGCGATCGAATTAGAAATGAAATTCGAACGGAAGAACCTCGCTCGCGCGTAATCACGAAATTGTACATACACCCTCATCATAGTAGAACACACCGCAGCGTTGTTTTGTCTGCTTTCAGACTACGGTAGGAATTACGGTTCGGCGTCGATGAGGCCACCGGGAGAACTGCCGGACATCCAGAGTCCGGGCGTGTCCCATCGGGCGCAGTTCGTTCTTCATCTCTCTCTCAGCCTCCTGTCGTTGCTGCTTCCGGCCATCAGAAGGTGATTCTCACGTCGCGGGAACGGGGCTTCCAGTTCTAGTGTTTATTGGTCGGTGACCGGACCGGAGACGGCCGGTGCGCGCGTGGTTACCGGTTTCCGGTGCGCCGTCTCCGGGCAAGTGATGGACGACGAGTGCGACGAAGCGCGGAGCCGCGCTTAAAATTATTTTCGTACTAAAAGAAGACTATATACAAACTATATACATATATACAAAGAGAGAAAGCGCAAAGAAAAGATATTATATATATGAATATAAAAATATATATATATATATATATATATATAAATATAGTATGTCGTGTAAGTATACATGCCGTGAGTACGTATATTAGGCTTTCTCGACTGATTGACGTCACTCGTGTGTCACCCTGTGAATCGTGTCGTCCTTCTCCTGTAATTGGTTCGCCTGTGTGGACGAGCCGCTTGCGTTTTGACTGTCTTAGAAGATATATCGCGCACACACACATACACACATATACATAAATATATATATATTGAGAAAGACTCGTCATCCGTTGAATATTTTTGAAAACTCAGAGTTACACTTCATCCGCGGCAAGAGAACATCGAGATTTATCGTTGTTAATTCAAGATACCTCGAGATACCGAGAATCCCCGTCTGACCTGACTGCTATTTCTTCTACTGATCGAAGAGGAGTGTTAGATTATAAAGAAGCCGTGTGGATATATATCTCTCGAGCACGGATACATTGGTGAGAATACTTGTGCAACGCTCGGATTCAACGAAATTATTCTGGTATGAATCTCCATAAATTTCCTTCGTAACACATGGCTCTCTCAAAAATATCTCGATCCACGATTGGCTGCCTATTGATGTAACGTTTTACTCGATTATCCGTAACTACTCTTCCGATATATTTTTTATTCGTATTTATTGGATTCCGATATGCAGCGTGAAACAGTGCGTCATGTATTTTAACCGTAATTTGCTAAACGGACTTTGTAATTATTGTTAGATGCTAATTAATCGTTTGCCTTTTAAAAATTCTTTTCAGATAATTGTATACCTTTTGGTATACTTTTTCATGTTATTACGCGTTCTTGCCATATCACAAGGAAAAGACACGGGAACTGTATTCAGTAAATAAATATATATAAATATATATGCGTACGCGTATAAAATAATAAACAAAAAAATATAAATAAACAAATATATATATTTGTGTGTGTATATATATATATATATATATATAATATATATGTACATATATATATATATATATATATGATATATGTATACGCATACATGGACTGTAGTTGTATCGAGAGGCATCGCTCGGTAATCTCGTAATTAGCTGTTTGATTGGTAAAAACCTGCATATAATCCGAGTGCATGGTCCTGCGTGTGTCCTTTCGCGAGACGCAATTGTTAAGAGAAATCAACGGAAATTCGTGAGTTTGCGCCCGGGGGAATTAACGCTAGACATCAAGTAGCCTCGAATCATCGACGACGGTGACGCAGAGAGCTTCGTGGCTTCTTTTTGCGCGATCATAACAATTTTCAATAGATATGAGACGATTTTTATCACAGTACGCAATCGCGCACGATCGTAATTAGAGAGACGATAACAATACGGGATAACAATGCACGTATATCCTCGTTACACAGATTAATGTACATGTGACGTGATGTATATCGAAGCGTTGTTTTTTTGCATCTGAAAATATTGATTGGCATTTCCTGAAAATGGCTCTGATGTTTGCGCAAATCCTGCTTTTCACCTCTCATGTTTTCATGTCCGTCGCGTTACGCGAATCGCGTGCGTTTAACGCAGGTTCATTACTTAAAAAAAAAAAAAGAAAAAAAGAAAGAAATGTCGCCTGCGATGCTTTAAACACTCTTTGAATCTCTTACGTTGTACCTGATCGTATCAATTGCCATCATCGTTCGATCTCAGGCGAAGCGGATGTGAAATGCCATGCGCCTTTCCCTGTTAATTCTGTAAATATTGTAGATACGTTGTGCTGTGATCAGTCTGGATCGTCATCTTGAGAGGATGACTCGAGGCTGCGCTTGTTAAATCGAATGTAGAGGCGAGTGTTGTGAATATTATATAATATGTTTGAGATGATATTATATATAGAGAGAAGGCGGTATTCGTACACGATGACGTCGTTCAATAGAATACCAAATGAGGCTGCAGCGCGATCGTAGCTATATTTCAAATTAAGTTATGATAATGTTATTAATGTATCACATGTCCGACGATTTCACTATGTCAAACGATTTTTATGTACCACATACATCGCCTCGGATAAAAAACACGAACCGATAATTAGATATAGATAGTGGAACTGTCGGCCTGTATATCTTAATAAATCGAATACATGACTGCCATTATAAACGCGTTAATTCTTAATAAACAAGCCCTCAAAATAAACCAACATATTATCTTATAATTAATGCATCTTTGGGAGTAATTTTGCTAATATTTATTCATATATTGTTATTTATATTTCTTTTATACATTGTAGATTTTTTATTTATTATATTTTTTTTAACAAAATATTATCTCGAAGAAGAAAGATTGAAAAGAAGAAATTTCTTGCAGAGGTAAGTGTTATTAATTATTTACATGTGTGTGCTAATGTTTTTATAATTATATTTATCTATATAAATCATCAAATATTAGATAGCAATTTGAAAGAGACTTGATTTGAATATGTTGAAGATAATACAATACAAAAATGTGTATATATGTTATTCAAATTTAATGTTTTATTAATAAATAAAATTGCAACCGCGCATTCGCAAAATTTTGATTAACATA